GTGGGCAGCGCAGAGCTCATCCGCAGCTGAGCAGGCACCAGCTCTGGCCGGCAGGCGGGGCTGGTGCACAGGGCACGACACTGGCAGAGAGATGGAAGCTGCCACAGTGTCATCTATGCCTGGGAGTGGGACTCGGGGCAGCTCAGGAGACCGTGGGAGCCACGATTCCTCATCTACAGGAGGTGGAGGCGTGACACCTCTCCTCCCACGTGGCCAGGACACAGTGAGGGCTCTGAAACTTACCTGCCAAGTGCGAAGGTCAATCCACGCATCGGTGATAATTATCTATGAACTATCTGCATCTTCAAAAGACCTTGGGCTGCATCTCTTTCCGTGAGCTTTTTAAAGTTCCTGCCACCTCTTCCTCCAGCCACAAGAACTTACCCTTGGCCCTGAAAGTGGCCGATGCCAACTCACCTTCCACTGGTCTGTTCACACAGTCCCGGTTGCTGCTTTCTTCAGATTCTGAAACACAAAAAAAGCAGTGTCGCTCAACACTCCGATTTACGGAGAAGTCACGGACTTTCAGCTCAGCGACGCAGAATCAGATTTGAAGGGATTGTCCCAGCGGCAGAGCTGCATCCAATTTCTCCAGAAGACACAGACACAGATGTTCCCAGCAGCCGCCCACTGGAAATGACCCAGCCGGACACATACCGGCGGGAGAGCCACACAGCGGACCACGTCGGAGCCCAGACTCCACAAGCGGCGCTCCGAGGAGGAAGAGCACAATCATCACACGGGCAAGGGCGCGAGACAGCGCCTGCCGCGAGCTCCTTTGACATGAAGCTCAACACCAGGCGGCACCGAGCTGTGCCCTTGGACCTCAGGAGTCACCGCCCTGGCTGGATGGAGCGAGGGGGCTGATGACGGGAGGACCCAAAGGGACTATGAAACGTGCTGTGTCTCGATCTGGGCACCAGTGCTTGAGGATGCACCGGTGTGAAATGTCATTGAGTTTATACGTATGTGCACTTCTCTGTATGTGTATTATACTTTCCTAAGATCTTTCTCAAAATTAAGCAGAGAAGCGATTGTGTTTGCAGGCGCTGCAGTGCCAGCGTCACTTTCTAACGCCAGTGCCACCTCCAGCTCACTGAGCTCCAGCCGAAGGAGGAGGGGGGTAAGTAAAGAGGTCTCCAAACTTTTTAACCAAAGTTTAAAAGCCGGCTGCCTGCAAATCCACTGGTGGTCAAGCGCCAAGGAAGCAGCTGGCTACCAAAGCTGCTCGCAAGAGTGCGCCCTCTACTGGAGGGGAGGAGAAACCGCATCGCTGGAGGCCCGGTGTCGCAGCTCTGCGTGAAACCGGACATTATCAGAAGTCCCCTGAGCTTCTGATTTGCAAACTTCCCTTCCAGCGTCTGGTGTGAGAATTTGCTCAGGACTTCAAACCAGATCTGCGCTCCCAGGGTGCCGCTATTGGTGCTTTGCAGGGGCAAGCGAGGCTCATCTGGTTGGCCCTTTTGAAGACACCAACCTGTGTGCTCTCCATGCCAAACTTGGAGCAGTTGTACCCAAAGACGTGCAGCTAGCACGCCACATACGTGGAGAACGTGCTTAAGAATCCACTATGATGGGAAACATTTCATTTTTTTAAAAAATTTTTTCTCGTCTTCCTGTTATTGGTAGTTCTGAATGTTAGATTTTTTTTGCCCATGGGGTCAAAAGTTACCTAAGTATATAATACTACAAGTGGAAAATACGAGACAGAAATCAGGTATTGGCCGTTTTTCCACTTTCATTTGTGTGTGAATTTTTTTAATATAAATGTGGGGACATAAAGCATGAACGCAAGTCAAAATGTTTCAGGAACAAGTTTCCACAATTCAACTTCATAACGATAGAAATAAACCTGCTAAATTTTTCTGGACAATGCCAGCGCTTGGATTTTTTTAAAACAAGTAAATTTCTGACTGATGGCAACTAACTGGTGTTGGTAGCATTTTTATCACACAGTAGATTCCAGCCATTCACTATACTTTCTGAGTCGTCCGACCTGCGAGTACATGTTCTTAATGTTGTCTGCCTTCTGTGCTGTTCCTGTAAGTTTGCTATTAAAATACATTAAACTGTTTTTTTAAACTACGAAGAGGAGACCATTGTGTGCTTTGTCGAGCTCAGCACAGAGGCTCTGTGGGGAACACGCCCCTTTGGTCTACTCTTTTCCCTGATGCTCCTGTTTGGATGTATCCATCCTTCTCAGTGTCTCCGCCTGGACCCACCGAGTGGGGTGACTCCTCTGTCTCCCCGCCCCAGGGCCCAGGGCGAATCAACCAGAGAGGGCGCTCCCCCCACTTACTTTGGCTCTCTGCCAGGACAGGCACCAGACCACATTTGCCCGCAATGTAGATAGACCCTCCGTCCAAACTCATGGCATCAGCTTCTCCTTTCTGCAAAAGACAAAGCAACTCTCCGGCATCACACTGAGGCCACTCCGTGTCCCGCCTGTCTTTCCAGCTCTCCACAAGGATGGCTCTGTGTCAGCTGTCCCAGGGAAGAAGCAGGGAGAGGCAGGGAGTGTCTGAACTGAGCACCCAAAGCAAATACCACGTGCACTGTTAATCCACAGCCAGCCCCACACGCCTTTCATGCTGCCACTGGAAAGACCTGGCACAGGCCGCCCTGACTCTCTGTCCCCTGAACAAAACCCTTTGTGCGCTCTGGGCACTCTTGGGACACCCTCCTGCACAGGCCTCACTCACTCGGGAGACAGATGCAAACAGCTGACTACACGCCAAGGGCTACGCCGAAGTTGGTCGACAAACGAGCAGAAATTTCTAATTAAATTGGCTCCCCAGCAGGATGGACGCACCCACACTCCAGCACAGAAACATGGGTTCGTTGGGATCCCAAACTCCCTCTTTGGCCCAGTGGTAATTTTTTGCAATGATATTAAAAATGACTGGAAACATGCATAAGATTTCTATTCAAGGATGCACGTCACGGGGTTATCGGTAATAACAAAATAAGGGGACAAGAGGAACAGGGTCAGGACCAAGCCACATCCACAGGAAGATACCCTGAAATCATTTTTTCAAAAGTATTTTCAAAGAATGCATTCACGTGGGAAAATGGCCATGATACGCTATTAAGAGAGAATTCAAATACCACCTGACCAGGATGACCCAGGGCTGTGGCCTTGACGCATCCATGCACCCAGAGTCCTGGGAGGGCAGTTACCCAAACTTCAGCTGTGATGCCTCTCTGTGTGAGTCACACTGGCTTCTGTTATTTATTTTACATCATACCTTTCTATAGTTTCCAAATTGCCTGCAATAACTGTGAGCTGTTCTTAGCATCAGAAGTGTGGCAAGCTCGCAATAAACACTTTTTTAACAGAAAGCTGCGCCTGTTTGCACACTGTGCGCTGGGCCCACCCTGCCTCTTCACGCCCGATCGCTTCTAAGCAGATGCACCCGACGTGGGATCTTCTATGGAACCCGCTGCCCCACCCGCAGGTGACACAGGCTCCCACCTAGGGTGGCCCCCTACCAGGACCAGGGCGATGCAGTCCTCGGTGGTGGTGGCACTGGCACAGGCCACTCTCCCGGGGCTCTGGCTGCTCCATTGCTGGCACTTGCGCAGCTCCGCGGGGCCCACCGCGCACCACACGACCCGCGTGCGCCTCGCCTCCACCTCGGCCGTCGCTGCCGGGAGGGACACAGCTGTCAACTGGGGCACTGAGCCTTGCCGAGGACACCTGGCACTGCCAACCTCCCTGGGGCCAGGCTCCACTCCACGCGCCCTTCCTGCTTGGCCTTCCCGCACGTGCGGACCCGCCCTGCTTCTAGATGGAAGAGTCCCGCTCCTGCCCCTCGCCCTGTGCCCAGCCCTTCCTCCCGCGGGCCGACCCCCTTGTCTCTCAGTCCCGTTCTCCTGGCTTCTAACCCACCCTTCAGTCCTTAGTGTAACGCCTTTACTAATATCTCAGTCCCACAGGACGATGGCTCCAGAACACAGAGACAGGGACAGCCCCCAAGAGGCGGCCTAGGGGACCCTGAGCCCAGCTCTGGCCTCCCTGAGGCCAAGTCGCCTCTGGGTTCACCCAGACTCCACCCCCAGCCTGGCAGTGGAGGAAGGACCTTGGCTGAGCGGCCCTCGGTGGTCTCCCCAGCCGGGACCTGAGCCCAGGCACCGGGCGGTGCGCCCCCAGGCTCTGGCTCACCCCAGGAGCGCCCTGGCTGGCTTGGCTCGTGTCCATATCTCTCCCCTCATAGGAGGCAAACTGATTTTTCTGTCAGGGCTGGGAGCCTGATGTACACAGGGACACACGGCAGCGTTACCCGTGGGGCTGACACATGCCTTTGGAGTCACTCCCACACGTTAAAATGCTCTTAGTGGACAAAAGACCCTCGCACCTGTATCAAACCTACCACGGGAAAGACCTCCAGTGGCAGGACACGGGAAAGTGACCACTAGGGGGCAGGGCCCGGCTGCTTGCACTGGGGGGGGTGAAGGGGGGAGCCAGGGGACTCAGCAGGGGCTCCCCACCCACACCAGCTGGCCCTCACTCACTTTCCTTCAGGCTCTTGATGGCAGTGACGTAGCTGGAACCAAGGTACAGGCCGGCATCTATCTTCGAGGGGATCCTCAAAAACCCTAGGGCATTATCTTTGAACATCAGGTCCTTCTGCCCCGGAGGGGAGCCAAAGAGCTGGAATGCTGGTGACTTGCCTTTCCCAAACTTCTCCTAATTAAGGAAAAACCGAATTGATGGTGTCAGTGGTAAACAAGGAGGACACAAAACCAGTGTTGCAAAAGAGCGTCTGGGACTTGGGGGTGAGCCTGAGTGTGGGAGCCTCGGCTGGAACTTGGGGGTGATCCTGAGTGTGGGAGCCTTGGCTGGAACTTGGGGATGGTCCTGAGGGCGGGAACCTTGGCTGGAACTTGGGGGTGAGCCTGAGTATGGGAGCCTCGGCTGGAACTTGGGGATGGTCCTGAGGGCGGGAGCCTCGGCTGGAACTTGGGGGTGAGCCTGAGTGCGGGAGCCTCGGCTGGAACTTGGGGGTGGTCCTGAGGGCGGGAGCCTCGGCTGCCTTCCTCAGGAGCGGGGCTCGGGCCCTTTCCTCACATAGCTCGGTTACGGCTTATTGCTTAGAGCGGTGCTTGGGTCCAAGCACCTTAGGGTCCTGAGAATGTCGCTTCTCTCCAGCGCATGAGACCCTGCGAGTCAGTAACGCTAGAGAGGCTTCGGAGCTCCTGCTGCCCAGAGGACACCTGGGCGAGCAGTCCAGTGAGTTCAGACGCGCCTGGGCAGCGAGGCCACAGAGGGGCTTCTAGAGGGACAGGGGGTTAGGGGAGGAGGGAACCCCCAGCACCAGATCCAAGCAGGCGGGAGGGCTACGGGTGCGGATACCTGTGCCTGGCGGAGAAGCGCCCAGATCAAGTCCTCCTCGCCACCCACACTTCGGGCCACAACAGCATGCGACGCGACCCGGGCCAGGTGGCAGTCCCTGTACTCATCCACTGGCCTCCGAGTATCGTCTAGGCAGAGCAGCTCATACAGGTCTCTCTCAGCCTTGTCTGGCAGGTTCTCTGGGGAAAGGGGGGGAGGGGATTGGGGGACCCAGATGAGCCTACCCCAGGTAGTGCCCATGAGCTGGAATTCCCCTTCCCCCCGGTGGAATTTGAGCTGGAGGAGGAATCTTCCACAGTGGACAAAACTGCGGGTCCCGAAAGAAAGCCAGTGGGCTGCTCCAGAACACTCAACAAGGTAAAGACAGTGCCCACAGAGCCTGGGGCCCCCCAGTGCCGCTCCGACTAGATCACACAGGCTGCCCCTTGCTGGTGAGCCGAGGAAGCTGAGCCAGACCCCACCTGTTCCCATAGCAACCCCACCCAGGAAAGGGTAACATGATGGGGACAAACCAAGGGACCCGCCAGGGGGCGCTGTCTTAGCCACATCTCTAGAAAGAGCAAAAATGGATGGAACGCGGTCGGCCTGCCCGGAGGTCCTGGGTGAGTGTGGCGGCCTGTGCGTGCCCAGCTACGGTGCTGCAGGGTGTGGCCCCTCAGGACACTCTCCAGAGACAACAGGAGGACACGAGTAAAGACACGAGGCATGGGGCCGCCTGCGGTAGAGGGAAGGCCAGGATGACCCGGTCCATCACTAGGGTGACAGATGAGTAAAAGCTGGTGGATGGGGCATCCCCGGTTAGAGCCACTGAACTGGGCATTTCTACAACAGCACAGGGAAATCTCTAGAAGGAAATGCCGGGTGGGAAACCTTGGTGGCAGCGTGGTTTCTAATGCTCAGTAATGGGGGTTCTAGTGCTCAGTAAAACCCCTGTGAGCTTAGGACCCAGCAACCAGACCGGGTACAAAACCACATACATCCGGGAGGACACGTGTCAAGTTCCTTGGCATGGAGCCTGCGAGGGGAAGAGAAAAGCAGTGGGCACAGATTTAGAGAAAACTGATGGTTTAAACTATGGAATTATATAGGAGAAGAACTGTGCCCTGTGGGGAACCTTGATAATAGTGTGCCAGGAACTGAGGAATCCAATTAGCTCAATATTCAGAATTATGAAAAGATAAAAGGAGGCAACCCCATAGCCCTTCTCTCTGCTCTTACCGAACACTGTGCTGTCCTTGACAAAAGCCACGTCTCCAGCTCTGTCTTTCAGACACCTGTGAACCGAGAAGGCACAGAGGGTCAGCTTCTTCCTTGCGCCCCCCGTGGAACAGGGGGTGTCTCCATGGGTGTCTGCTCCTAGGAGGGCAGGGCTCCGAGGCTTTGGGACACCCTGACTGGGGAGGTGGCCGGGCCACCCCCAGCAGATTCCGAGGAGAAAGGGCTCAGGTACTGGCCAGAGGCCCGCACCTTTCGCTTTCAGAGCTGAGAGGGTGAAACTTTGCATTTCTATGTAAAAGAGAGTTTTGAAGCCTCTACACCAAAGGACAAAGTCTCCGTATCCTTGGCCATGTTGGTTCTTTCTCCCAGGACTGAGTGGACAGAGGAGCCCTGAATGGCAGAGGAGTGGGGAGGCCTCCCTCTGCAAAAGTGCCTGAGCCCGGGAGGCAGATGGGGGTGGGGGAGCAGCCTCAGCCTCAGCCTGGGGGCAGACAGGGCACAGGAGCCAACTGGGCAGGACTTGCAGTCTCCCAGCTGAGGCCGGGGGGGGAGGGCACGTAGGACAGACTAACATCAGCCCGGACACCCCCCATCCTGCCCAGTGGGAGCCTGGGACTGGCTGTCTCATGACAAGACTCCTTCACCCATCCATGGTTGGGGAGGGGACAGAAGTCAGCAGGTGGAACCCAGATAATACAGGGCAAAGTCAGGTCCACGTTCCCTGGGAGAGCGCGGGGCCACCGTGGAGGGACTGCTCATCAGCTGGTGTGGACGTGAGGGGACACGCTGGGCAGTCAGCACCCCCTCTGTGCACAGCTCCTCTGTCTGCACAGCAGTAGGAGGCCTGCACCTCCTCTCTGGTCCCTGCAAGTGGGCTGAGCTCTGCTTGGGGCCAGAGAAAAGGCCTCCTGGCCTGAGGACATGTGGCACTCGGGCCACTGGGGAGAAGAGCCTCACTCACTTGAAGGCACCCGAGTAGCCAAAGTACGGTTCCTGGGAGGAGCAGGCGCATTTGTTTTCCCCTGTCCCCGCACACAGGCGACACAGGTTGGGGTACTGTTTCCCATCCGCGCAGGGAACACAGCTCGAGGAGAAGAAGCTGGCCGCAGCTGTGGGGCACAGAGACACAGACACGAGTGTGAGGAGCCGGGCCACGCCAGCCGAGAGCGCCCCGTGGGCAGCCCGAGGGCCGTGCTCAGGGGCCAGCTCCCCAGGGCAGCGGGACAGGGAACCCCGGGTTCGCCTCGGCCCCGCCCTGGAGCCACCTGCGCGGCCCCCTGTGCGGTCCCGGGTGCTGTGTGCGGGCTGGAGCGGAGACCCCTGCCCGAGCCCCCCAGGCCCCGGCCGTCTCACCTTGCTGAAGGGGCTCGGGTGGCCCTGTCCAGTTCAGGTAGGGACGGAGTGTGCCCATGGGGATGTTCCACCCCGCGGACCTGTTCAAGCCGGTGTGACAGGACTTCACGCCGCGCAGCTGGCTCAGCTGAAGGCCGCTGCCCTTCCTCGCTATGGCCACGGCGTAGTACTGGGTCTGGGGGTCTGCAGGGGGCAGGGAGAACCCAACGCTCTCAGCCTGGCCCCGCGGGAGCAAAGCAGCCCTTGGTGGGAAGGGGACCCCTGTGCTGCAGTTTCTTCTCGTGCACAACTGCCCAGATGCCCTGGAGCACGGTGTCCTCCCCCAGGGGTCAGCCTCTGGCCCAAAGCGCCCAGGGACTCCCTTCCTTCAAGTGCCGTGTCATCCGAGACCACACCTCTGTCAACTCGTCCACTCTGACTCCCCAGAGCCCAGGGCCAGGGCCCCGGCCACCCCAGCCCTGGGTCCCAGGGGGACTCGCCTGTTTCGGTTCCGTAGACCTCCGCTGCCACGGGCCGCAGTTTATAGGGCTCCAGGCCTGCCTCCAGCACCAGCCCGCCGTCGAGGGTCACGGCGTCCGCCTTCTTCGCCTGAAAGCAAAGCGCCAGGCCGACTTCAGGAGAGAAAGGGCCTAACGCAGGCCAGGGGATCGCGGGATGCCACAAGGCTCTGCGGCTGGAATGATGCAACGGGGCCAGCGTTTGACCATGTCCACTCACATCCCGCGACAGGTGGCACAAACTGAGGGTCCCTCTTTTGGGTCAACGGGCACCAGCCCAACCGCTTTAACTCTTGAGGTTGGCACGTTGCCTCTTTTTCATGTGCCTACCCACCTACACAGGGTGGGGCAAACGTAGGGTTACAGTGGTGAGTACACGAAATACAGTTTATTCTTGTATTATTAATTATTGAAGCATTTTCCATACGAACAACTATAAACCTACATTTGCCCCACCCTCTCTAACGCTGCTGAGTACACCTTCCTCAGTGGTTTGCACAGGGTGTCTCCAAAAAATGTACACACACTTTAACAGCTGATAGCTCAATGTTGAAAATAAAATGTATTTTAATAAATGCTGCCTTTATAATTATTCAAAATGTGTGCATACTTTTTTTGAGACACCCTATAATTAAAGTTGTTTGTTCTAGAAGCTTTCTTTCCTGCTTTTGCTCTGTATTTATTTATTTTAAGTTTTTTCTTATTGACTAGAAATTTTAGTTATTAAGCCATCTTAAAATTATCATCCTCTCTTACCTATTCTCATAGAATGTAGGTTGCAATCACATGTCAGAGCTGGTGCACATTCACTCCCATGCTTTCTAAATCTCTGTTTAAATGTTTCTACTGGGCTACAAATTAATGTTTTATATTAAAATCTGTCTGTTTACTTCGTCATTTAGCTCATTGCTTAAAAGCTGAAAGGTTTCTGTTTCTGCTATAGTCCTGCTAATGCATCGCTCCTCTAGTCTTTCAATAACACATTTTCTTGGTAACCGCGTAGCCTGCCCCTACTTTATTTTACTGTTTGGTGCGTCAAACTGCCTTCAAATGGGACTCTGTTAAAAAGGCATATTTGGGTTGAATAGGTCAGAACAGGGCTCAGGAAACAGCATTTTATTTATTTGTTTGTTTTGTTTGTTTTTAATCCACACCTGAGGATATTTTCTCCATTGCTTTTCAGAGAGTGGAAGGGGGAGAGAGAGAGAGAAACATCAATGAGAGAGAGATAGACTGCACACGCCTGACCAGGGCTGGGGGTCCAGCCTGCAGCCGGGGTGCGTGCCCTTGGCTGGAATCCAACTTGGAGCCCTTCAGTCCGCAGGCCGACGCTCTAACCACCGGGCAAAACTGACCAGGGCAGGAACAAGCATTTTAAACCAGCAGAAATGCTGGTGCTGTTTGTCCACAGGCTCTAGTTGTAAAAGAATATCCTAAAACAGTGCTCAAACTAGATGTTTTCCCTTAAGTACTGTTCCAATAACATTGATCTTACTGAAAACTTTTACACAGGTTACCCATGGCACCGAGAACACATTTGTTGGGTGAATCAGTAAAAATTATTTCCATGTGTCTTATATCCCAACAAACAGAAGGAATCTGAAATCATCCAAAAGTCATGATTCTCTTTTCTGTCTCTGAAAAAATGTCTTGGACAAATGTCTTTCCCACATCTGGTGCCCTGGCAGGCCCCCCAGCATGATGTGGTGACCATGACCGGCTGAGCTGATTTCTCTCAGGGTTCAGAGGTCATGACCTTCTGGAGGTTTTGCCTTTCAGAGTCACCTTGCCATTTGCCACTGTTACATAGTCATCCAAGATCACTGCTGCTGTATCACTTTTGCACAGTTGTTATCGACAGTTTATGCTGAAGTCCCAGGTTCCCCACACATGGTCTCTCCACTTTAGAATGTTAATTTCTACATTCAAAACAGCCTTATGTCCTATGAGAGAGGACTGCCCCCAGCTGGCAAGCGCCCAGGAAGAAAAGCAGAGGGAGGAGGGCAGAGCAGTTGTTCATTTTAGTCCATGCCCTTCCCTTCTCTCCCTTTCCCTTCCCTTCCCTTCCGCTTGGTCTGACCCGACAGCCGGTGCTGACTTACCGCGATGGCCTGGATGCATTCTGTGTAGGAGGTTTTCTTAACGCAGGAGACACGAGGGCCGGGCTGTTTTCTCAGGTTCTGCTGGAGTTTCGAGCATTTCGCAGCCTCTGCTTGTGATATGGTGCACCACCGAACGCTCTTCCTCCGGGCAGCCAGGCACAGCCCTGGAACAAGGCCAGGGAGTCGGGGTTCAGCCACCGCCCACGGAAGAGGCTGCCTTACCTTCGGGCGGAGTTTTCCAGACCCTCCGTCTCGCCCCCTCCTCGCCTTCCCTCCATCCTGTGCCTAAGTCGGGCCTCTCTCCTCAGGTGGAGGCGTCTTACTGGCCTGGACAGAGGGCTGTGATTCTCCATAGATTAGAAGAGACATTCCGAAGCCCTGGCTTCTTTTCCTTCCTGTGACTGACACCTTCCCACCATTAGAAAAATGGTGATGATCCCTTGCATCAGTTTGTGGCGTTCTTCCACCTGCCTTGTCCCACTTGAACTTGGGAGGCAGGCGGGAAAGGGACTATTGCTCCTCATGGGGAAACTGGCTCTTGAAGGGGCCTGAGTGGCAAAGTCCAGCCTCGAACCCAGGTCCCTCTAGATTGTTGTGTCTACAAGCATCTCCCCAGGGGATGCCACGGGAACGAAGGGAAAGACACCCGATTCCCTGTGAGTAGCTGCAGTAAGTGGTGTGCCGAATGGGTCAGTGCCGCCATCAAAACTACTTCTCTGCCAAGCCTGCCTCGGTTTCTAGACTCTCTGCAGTTAGGGAGAAGGCGGGACCCGATTTGCTCACAGCTCTTAAAGACCACAGGGGCCCTGGCCCAGTAGCTCTGTTGGTTACAGCGTTGTCCCATGGACTGAGGGGTCCCGGGTTCAATTCCAGCCAAGGGCATGTACCTCAGTAGCAGGTTCGACCCCTTGCCCTCGTTGGGGTGCATGCAGGAGGCAACCAGTCCATGTGTCTCTCTCACATTGATGTTTCTCTCTTTCCCTCCTTCTCTCTCTCTCCCTTCTGCTCTCTCTGAAAAGTAATGGAAAAAATATCCTCAGGTAAGGGTTAAAAAAACACATGTGACCCTGGCTGGGTAGATCAGTTAGAGTGTCATCCCCATGCGGCAAGGTTTCCAGTTTAATCCCTGGNCACATGTGACCCTGGCTGGGTAGCTCAGTTAGAGTGTCATCCCCATGCGGCAAGGTTTCCAGTTTAATCCCTGGTTAGGACACATACAGGAATCACCAATGAATGAATGCATAAATAAGTGGAACAACAAATTGATGTTTCTTTCTCTCTTTTTCTCTCTTTCTCTCTCAAATTAAAAAATTATAAATTAAAAAAAAAACACACACACACACACTCACATGGGCCCTGGTAAAGGGCACCTATGAAAAACCTACAGTGAACAGTACATTAAAATGGTAAAAGACTGAATGTTCTCCCCCTAAGGTCAGAAACAATGCAAAGGCATCCACTCTCACTTCTTCTATTCAACATAGTACTGGAGGTCCTAGCCACAACAATAAGGCAAGAAAAGGAAAGAAAATAAGTAAATAAACACATCCAGATAGAAGAAGTAGTAAAACGGTCTTTATTTGCAGACAACATGATCCTCCATGTAGAAAATCCTAAGGAGCCTACGAAATGCTACTAGAACTAATAAGAGCAACAAGGTTATGGGATACAAGATCTGTATATAAAAACCAATGATATTTTTGCTTACAAGCACTGCATGATCTGAAAATAAAATTAAAATATAATCTATTTATAGTAACATCTAAAAGAATAATACTAAGGAAAATATTTACCAAAAAATTGAAGACTTGTACACTGAAAGTTGCAAAAGTGTGCTAAAGGAAATTAAAGGTCTAAATAAATGGGGAGACATTATATTCGTGCTTTATAAGACTCAATATTATTAAGATGGTGATTCTCCCTAAACTGATATAGAGAATCAACACAATTCCTATCAATATATCAGCGGGTTTCTTTTTTTAAAGAAATTAATAAGCAGGTTCTAAAATTTATATAGAATAAATAAATAAATTTATAACAAATAGACCAAATAATCTTATATAATTTATCATTTATATTTATATAACATAGATAGAAAAGCCAAAAACAATTTTGAAAAAGAACAAAGTTGGAGGAATTTTACTTCCTAATTTCAAAACATACTATAAAGTTAAAGCTATGAAAACAGTTTGGTTTTAGCATAAAGATACACATATAAATCAATGAGGCAGATTTAAGAGTCTAGAGGCAGATTCTTATATTTACAGTCAATTGATTTTTTACAAAGGTGCTAAGGCAATTAGCAGAAAGGATAGTCTGTTACCAAATGGTGCTCACACCCTTAGATACCCACATGCAAAACTATAAACTTAGAGCCCCACCTCACGCCATACACAAAAATTAACTCAAAGTGGATCACAGAATTCACTGTAAGAGATAAAACAATTGAACTTTAAAACCCAAAAGAAAAGCTTTGCAACCTTGTGTTAGGCAATGATTAATTACCTATGACACCAAAAGCATAGTCTATGGATAAAAAAGTTAACAAACTGGACCTATCAAAATTCAAAGCTTTTGTGCTTCAAAAGAAAGTAAAGAAAATAAAACCACGTGCACAGGCTGGGAGAAAATATTTACAAAGAACTCTTGACAACTCGGTAAGAGGAAGACAGACAATCCAATAAAAAATAAGCAGAGGAGATGAGTAGACATTTCTCCAAAGAAGAAACTTGAATGGCTAATAAGCACATGAAAAGATGCTTAGCATCATTAGTCATTAGGAAAATGCAAATTAAAAGCACAGTGAGAGAATCATTTCATACCCACTGAATGGTTATAACTAAAACAGAAGATAATAAGTGTTGGCAAGGATGTGGAGAAAAGGGAACCCTCATCCACTGCTGAGGATGGGAAATGGTCTACACTTCGGGAAAATGTTAAACACAGTTACTGGGTGGCCCCCCAGTTCCACTTCTAGATCTATACCCCAAAGAAATAAAAACATGTGTCCCCAGAAAGACTCCTGTGTGAGTATTCACAGCAGCATTATTCAGAAGGGCCAAAATGTGGAAACAACCTGGATGTCCAACAACTGGCGAGTGGCACATCCAAACAATGGAATGGTATTTGGCAATAGAAAGGAAAGAGCCACCGGTGGGCGCAATATCACTGAGCCTCATTTATGCTGGGTGAACCACATATTGCATGAGCCCACTCATGTGAAAGGTGCATGAAGGGCTCACATAGAAACAGGAAGCAGATCGGAGGCTGCCTGATGCTGCGGAGGGAGGGGGATTAAGCTGAGTGGTCATGAGGACTCGTACTAGGGGGTGGATATGTCCTAAATTTACAGTGATAGTTGCACCACTTGGTAAAACTGCTGAAAAATCACCGAAATAGGTGAATTGCATGAGATGTAAAACGTGCCCCAGTAAAGCTGTTACAAACAAAAAAACAAAGACACTTGTCTGCAGGGCCCTCCTCCCCTTGGGATGTGCTTCAGGGTGGAACATTCAGCCCTCTGCCTCCTCCACTCCTGAGCCACCCCCTGCAGTCAGCCCAAGGTGTTTGAGGCACCCTGTGGCTCCAGGGCTCAGGGGGCCAAGACAACCAAAGATTCCAGTGAAAATGGGCACAGCTCTGAGCCAGAACCCTGGCCCGTGGCCTCTCTGTCTCTCCCAAGTGGCCCCAACCCTGTGCTGTGGGCCCAGCAGGCCACACATCGGGGAGCAGAAAGGAATTGGTCCTGAGCAATTGGCCCTGGACAGGCCCAATCCTGCCTCGGGGAAGAGAGGGATGACCAGCACCCCTGGGAAGGAATGTGGAGAAGGCGACCAGAAGGCAGGGGCAGGGTGGCGCCGTGCTCCCTAGGTTTGGGGGCTTAAGCTCACTGCTGCTCTCTACTACCCCCTTCGGGCAGACAGCCCAGGAGGGGGCTGCACTGAGTTGGCGCGGACCGGGTGGGGGGCTTTAACCCTGACCCCACACTCGCTGCCTCAGTCCCTCGGTCCTGCCCATCACAGCCCTTCCTGCTGCTGCCTGGGAGCTTCCCCTTCACTGAGGAAGCCCCGCCCGAATACGCCGTGTCACTAATGTCCATCGCTGGCCGGTGCCCTCAGAGCACCCCAGAAATTACTTCAGATATTTGGGTACTGAATTAACAATTGTTTAGTGCCTTCTATAGAATCCCTTCTAGCCTGGGCACATTTGAAACCAGAAATCGATTTCTCTCCACCCTCTGAGACAGGTCTTACCGGGAGGTCTGAGGCACCACCCTTGCCCGTGTGGGGGGAGTGCGCGCGCCTCCACCCGCCCCGAGCAGGCGGCACCCTGCTGCCCTTCTCCGCGCCGTGGGAAGACGCTCGGACCATTCTTTTAAATGAAGAAGCAGGCTCAGAGAGGCCCTGTCTTGCCCAAGTCAGCACAGCCCTTGCACGAGCTAGGATCTTGAGCCCCAGGTCTGCTGCATGTGTTGGGCAAGTCACTCACCTGTTCCGAGTCTCATTTGCCTCCCGCTTAAACCGCTTGTAACAGTACCACGGGTACCAAAGGTCCTAAAAGCTCCTTGAAGGACAAAACTGTCCAGGGTCCGGGAAGGTGCCTGGGAAGCTCTGCGCAGCTCGAGGCTGCTCCGACCAGCTTAGAAGCACCGGCTCCGGCTTCACCCCAAGTGGGTGGGCTGGACTGGCTGTCACCTCCGGGGCTGCAAGCACTGGGTGCCAACAGGGGGTGGGGTACGGGGGAGGACGGAACACTCCACAGGGCACGGGGACCAGGACACCCACTCAGTGGGGCTGGGCCCCAGGAACCTGTACTCACCAAGGGCCAGGAGGGTCAGCAGGGTGGGGAAGATGAGCTTCATGTCTGGGGTCCTGGGATGACTCCAGAGACTCCAGTGAATGGAGGCTCTGCCACCTGCGCTTGCTCTGCAGCCCTTTATTTAGGGCTTGCTGACCTCACGGGGTTTGCCCCGCCCCATGGCCCAATAGGTGTCCCTGCCCCCCC